AAAATGTTTTTTGTGTTAAATATTTTATAATGAAAAAAATTCCCTGAAAATATTTAGAAAATTGTTTTTAAAAGTAATGAACGCAAAACAACATTTAACAAATACACTAAGAAATCGTGATTTCGTGACTTCGATCTAGTAATTGAAGCCTTTAGACTTTCCATGCTTTTCTCCTCTTAAGCAATAATTTATATAGTGTACATTGTTCTCGCCTGTGGGAAGTAAGACTGACGCATTGTTGTTGCAGTCGATAAAGTAGAAATAGAGCAATTTCAACATTAGTCATACGATGGCTTAGCTTTCCCGACGGTCTTTATGAACTAAAGCTAGTGCGACCCCTCAGAAGCTCTGCCTTTCTGTATCGACTTGCTCTATTCCTCTATGAACGTCTACCTTCGAGAACGAAAAATCAAGCGGATATACCGCTAACGAGCCAAACTTCCACGTTGCTTCTGAGGCTTGCTGCTGCTTGCTTTGCTTTATGAGGAAACCAATGAACTTAAACCTTCCGTTGATAGCAAAATTTTCTAAATCGTAAACGCTATTAACATATATCGTTTGCTCCTTGTGATTTTTACATATTTTTTAAGTGATGGTTTCTCGATCATTTCATGATTTGGAAAATTTTTTGGTGGTAATTATGGAGAGTTCACCGTAAATGTTCTGTAGACAAATTTTCGCATTTCCCAACTCGTGTTCACTTGAATAGATTTCTTTTGCTGAAAGCAGACCTCATTCTCTCTAACGGATGAACAAGTTAGAAAGACAATAACTCCCGGCACGCATCTGCATTGTCTTGGGATCGAGAATCGCTGAAGCATCGAACTCTCCTCATCCTACTTCGAGTTTAATTTAACACTACTTCATAGTGTGTTGGTTTTTCTCATCTGTAGAATTAAGTCTAGCGTATGACTTTAGTGAGTGATCTAGTGCTTGTCGACGTAGGAAAAGCGGAAAGCTATGTTCGCCTGTATGTTATTTTTCCATGCAGATGAAGTAATCAATCATAGCTCTCAAGAGATATGTATCCGTAATAAGGCTAAGCTTGTGTTTTGCTTCTCCGCGTCTTCTTCTCATTATTTGATGCCTCTGGTCTGCTTGAAAGCCAGCAATTCGCTATTTTAGAGGATTGGAAGCAATTTTTGGAGGTAAAATTCTTTGCAGCTATGGCGCCGTTCGTTTCTCTGTCACGTTTACTTCAATAGCTTTCACGGAGCATCATTCTCGATCTTCAAGAGGATACGATCGGAAAAGTTCCTAAAATCCTAATCAGCCGATGCAGCCTATGGACACTATGTTTGCAAAAATGTTTAATTCTCTTAAATCTAAAGACTATGAATAGCAACAAAGAGAAATATGTTTAAATTCTTTTAAAAGGTAATGGAATTTTTTTTTTTTTGATTATATTTTAAAAACAATTTTCTTTATATTCATTTTAACGGAGGGGAAATTTTTCATATTCTGTGTTGTAATCGAGAGGAACTTTATATACCATACTTTTTGTTTTGTTTTTTATTTCTTTGTAGCGAACGAACGAAACAAAAAACAAATGAAAATTACAATTAGTAAAATTTTTTTTTTAGCTTGGTATCCGTACTCTTTTTTTTTTTTTTAAATAATAATTAAATAATCTCTTTTCTAATTACACGCATATATACATTTGTTAAATTTCTATTAATAGAATTTTTTTTTTTTTTCCTTTAGATATTTGAAGAAATTGTTGAGGTAATTTTTTTTTTTTTTTTTTTTGCAAATAGTCTTAATATATAACCTTTAGTATATAATACAAACGTTTTGAAGAAATCTTAGATTTGATTTTTTTAATAAATATTTACTTGTTTTTTTTTTTTTAGTTGTGAATTAGTTTTCTTGTATGTGTGTATAAATTATTTGTTTGTTTTTTTTCACAAGTTTTCTTACGTACGCCGCGTTTTAGATCACGCAATGCTTACAAAGTAAAACACTGTGAATTGTAATAATAATTAATTTATGTTTTCATTTAATATTCAGAGAGGTATACGAGGTATTTGGTTTGTGTCTTAGTACATTTTCCTGTTTTTTTTTTCTTTTATTTTCTTCTTATTTTATAAATATTTTATACAATTTTAAAAATAAGAACAATTAAGGAAAATAAAAATAAGAGAAATGACACAGATAGAGAGAGATAGAGAGAGAGAGAGAGAGAGAGAGAGAGAGAGAGAGAGAGAGAGAGA